CAAAGCTACCCCGGGGATCCCGGAGAGGGATCGGACATCCCCGGCATCCAGATCCACGGCAAATACCCCACCCCCAAAGAACCTCAAGGGAAGGGATGGACCCTGGTGTCCTTTTCCCCCTCCCTGGGAACTAGCGCCTGGGGGAAAAACCCCAAAGGCCCAAAAAAGAAGGGGAAAAAAGGGGAGGGGTGGGGGAGAGGGGAATGGAAAAAGGGGGGGATGGATAGAGGGGGGGGAGAATGGGGGAAAAGGTTCGTCTGGGGAAAAAGACCAACAGCAAATTCTCAGCCCAAAGACCTTTTCCCCACCCCGGGACCCCCCCTTGAAAGGAAACACTTGTACAAACCCATAAGAAAATGTTTTCCATAGTTTCAATCAGAGCTTATTAATGGGAAACATAGATAGGATTCAGTCATCTAGTTTCCAAAAAGGGTCTGTTTTGTTTGATAAACCATGGGGTACACACTTGAGAGAGTCAAATTCTTAAACCTGTCTGAATTGTATGCCATTTATGAGATTGTTTTTTCAGTTGAAGGGCAAACTCCCCATGTAAGAAAAACGCATAGACATTATGCCCATCGATGAAGTTCCAACAGTAAGGGTGTTATGGAAGAATATTTTAAGAAAACTAAATGTACATCCTTCCAATTGAAAATTTGAACAAAAAAAAATACCAGTAGTTTGTTTCATCTTTGTTTATTTGTTGATTTTAGGTTTGCAGTACTTTGACTACACAAAATCCTTTTCCCTTTACATTACCCCTAAAGGGGAAGGCCCCCTTTATTTTGTTTGGGGGGGCTTTTGATTTAGGGAATTGGATTGTGCTCCAGTTCCCGAATTAAGCCTGAAGCTTTCCACATCCCCCCCCCAGGGGCTGAAATCCTCGGGTTTACGCTTCACCTTGATTATAATAATAATTGTTTCATTTGACCTTGTTTTTCATGCTCAAACTCAAAAAGCCAAAAATTTTAGCCTTTCTTGAAATATTACCATTCTAAGTCTACGTTAGCCATGCTGCGTATGACCCTGTGGGGTTTGCACTTAGTTTTGGTGTAATAATTAACCTTAAAATCCCTTGCCATGTAATTTTTTAGTTCCAAAATTTAAAAATTTTTAATATTTTTAACAAATATTTGGGTGGAATTAATTTTTAAAATTTTCAAAGAAAAATTACTCACGGGGGGGCGTAAACCCGTAGGCTTTACAGCGATGTGGGGGGGGAATGAAAGGGATTTAGGGTCAAATTTGGGGAAACCCGGGGACAATCCAATTCCCTACACAAGGCCCCCCACCAGCAACAAAAACCTCCCCTTTAGGGGGTTTAAAAAATTTTTAATTATTTTTATTTAAAAAACATTTTAGGGTTTTGTGTTTTACTTCAAATAGTTTTAAAGAGATGACCAACCAGGACAAACCAACACCCCGGGCAAGAGTTTGACTCGTACTGACCAAAAAAAACCTGCAGCACACAATGCATAACGAAAAAGAACCGACCGTTTTTAGGGGTTAAAATGCTGTTTAAGTTATTTTTTATAATATTTATCGCTGTATTCTCGTTTTCATGTCTCACTGATAAAATGGAAAAAAAATTTTCAAAATAGAGAGATTTTTTCATTTCACAATGAAAAAATACCTGAAAAAAGAGCTCAAAGTAGCGGAAATGTTCGATTTTTTACGTAGTTCAGATAAGCAAATCACCCAAATCCAATCATGTCAACTGGGGAGTCTAATATTCTTTCACTAGTGCATTGATATTATTTATACCATTTTTACGCAGCGCTGTATAGCCCTTGTGGCTTAGCGCTTCTTTTTGATTATAATTAATAATATACCATTTTTACAATAATGCAGTAGTCTGCATAACAGTAAATTTTATATTTTTTGTATGAATAAAAAAATCTAAATAGAAAGCAATAGTAATATAGGAGGGGCCTAGAGACATGACTAATGAACATAGGATGTTATTTTAGTGCCAAAAATGTCTACATTGTTTATTCTGGACCCTATTTTGAAATTGGCATCTTTTTTAATTTGCGTGAAATTGGCCAGATTACCAATTTCTGACTACTTTATTGGGTAGTTCAAATCGGTAAATGGGCGGTTTCTTGTGCTCAACTGATAGAAAAAATGGACTTCTAAAGAAATAGCTATGAGTTTGGTCAACTGGAACAATGGAATTGGCCAAAAACAGGGCTCAAAGTCAGCGAAATCGCCAATGCGCACATGTTGCCCAGACCGCTAACTTCACAGGAGCGTAATTCCGCGAGTTTTCAACCAAATTTCATACTTTTGGTGTCATTACCATTGGGAAAAGATTCTCTATCATTTCATATTTTTTTTTTTTTTTTTTCCAAAAAATTTTGCGAGACACAGAATGACAGTTTCAGAAAGGGGCTTGCAACAGTCAAAGGGTTAAGGGTCATTATACATCATAATGGCAAAGACAAATCCAGATATCTAATTTATAGTTGTAAGGCTTGGTTAGTCCTGACAGCACGTCCACATTACATTTGAGATTGTCAACTGTCTTAACATTGTATAGCACTTTACTGAACCATTCAAGGTCAAACGGAATTTGGACCTGCTGTCAGGACTAGCCAAGCCTTGCAACTATAAACAGACAACTCTAGATCTGTCTTTGCCATCATTTCAAATGGTTATTAAATATAAACCAAATCTTTAAAGACCTGGTACTCTTCACTTTTACTTTTGGGATACTTTGGTCAGTTAGAAGTAAAAACTTCACCCACGGGTGTATTATTATAATCAAAACTAAGCACTAAACCCACAAGGGTCATACAGCACTGCAGGGTAGGGTAGGCAAACGGTGTAATATGCTTGATCTAACACTGACTAGGGTGGAGAGTATAAAAGTCGAGTCAGTAAAGGCAGTGAGAAGTGCTGAAGGAAATACAATCAATGGATGTGTAATTAATCTGTTGCTGTCAAAGAGGGAGTCTGTGTCAAATGTGGGGGGCATCAACTAGGAGGGAAGATAAAGTAAGTGTTAAAGCAGTGACAATAATGGAGGTAAATTCTGCATGCTTGCTGATAGACAGGACAGTCCAAAAGAATACAGCAAACTGAAATTGGAACCTGACAATTCGCAGTGGAACTGGATGTCTCTCCACGAGCGAGACGCGTGCCCAACGTGAAGACAGGAAAGCGTAGTCTCCCAACCATGACATCAATAAGAAGACAAAGATCCTAAACTCAGCTTGATAGAATGTATTTTTTTTATTCAACCAGACCAACATTGTTGCCAACAGTTGCAAAGCTGGCTAGAGATTACAGCAAAACAGTCTTAAGAATGGAATACCATCATATATGGAACTGGAAGGTCATGTGCCACATGCTCATTGCCCTGAAGATCAACATGACCAGGGACCCAGCAGAAAACAAGTTTTGTTTTAGCTAGAAATGCAGTGCAACCCAAGTTGTACATGAAGAACTAGGGGACGGGATGAATTAAATTTTTTGATAACTTGCAAAGCACTAGAGTAGTCCGAGACTACCACAAATGTTAAGGTAAGCTTGGATGCAATTTGGATAATTGCTATAAGAACTGCACAGTTCAGCTGTGAAAATGCTACCCGAGTCTAACAAATGACCCCAACAATGCCGTGAAGAACACTGCTGCAAACCCGACACCATCAGAAGATTTAGAATCAAGTGTAAACTGCAATGGCATGAGAAAGACTGAAAGCAGTTAAGACAAAGGGAGCAACTGTAGATTATTTGAGCTTTCTTGCACTGCAGTGGGGAAGAACAGACTAACTGTCAGGACCTCCCAGGGAAAAAAAGAGAAAAGTTAGATGCTAGATGAGCATATAAGGGCAAGTGAAGTTGAGCAAACTAAGACAAGGAGAAAAGGGAAGGAGAAAATGGGCAGTGAACAAATGACGGCCCTCTACTAACGTTTGTTACCATTTTGTATGTAGAAGGATCATGAAGGTTACAAGAGCAGACAAAATAACAAGAGGCAATGGACATCACATCAATCGTTCAAGGATGGAACAATTGTACATTGATAGAATTACTGACAATATGTAAAGTAAAAGGACACAAGTGCAACTAATGTGACATTTTATTGTGGCAACATTAGTTACACTTGTGTCCTTTACAAGGATGGAACAATTACCTCTGCACACAGGCTCTCGACAGGGTAGGAGCAAAAACCACCAAGACATAAACGTAATCCCTGATCAAGTTTAGAAAGAGTTGGGGGGAGAGACCGCAGAATAGATCTGGTCACCATAGTAGTTTTGATAAAACTATGGCAAGCTGCTTTCAGGGAGGTAATGTGGTTTCCAGGACAGTCAGCGATCAAACAGAAAGCTGAGAATTTTGACCGTATCACATTCAGGGATATGGGAGCCTTACAAGTACAATGGAGCATGAGAGAACAGAATGTCTGGTGTAATTTGGTGCATTTTAGCACCAGAAAATTTGAACCCATGAACAGTGGCCCAATGGGAAACAGAGATGACAGTATTCTGGTGAGTCTCCTATTACAAAACCACTGGTACAACCTATAGCAGTCATCAAAATAAAGTGATGACCAAATATTAGATGGGAGAACAGAAGCCAGACCATTTATAGCACCCATGAGTGAAGAGATGTTATGGTTGGACACTGCTTATAACTCGACTGTCTTACCTAAAGATTAATGACCCATTTAGACTAACAGGATGAAAGAGTAAAGAAAGTTTTACACCTTTAAGTACCACTCCTGGATAGTGTCAGTCACAATATTACTTGCCAATAGATGAAAAACTAAAGTTAAAATTCAGCCATACATCAAAAGATTTTACAACCTCCCCCCTCCTCTCCTTACAAGACGAGAAGTCGCTGCTTGCCATAACGACTAAATTTATTAAGCATAAAATATAAAAACAGATCTAAAACTAGAAGTGACTATTTAGTACATACTACCTTGTCTAGATTCCTGATCACTCAGCAGCCACACATTTCAATGAGGAATTAATGAAAATTATATAAATTCATCCACAGGTTTATTTAGAAGAAGAATCCCAGGATCTTTCCTCCAAGATGCTTCCTTTTCGCTTCTTCATGATCCATAATGCCACCTGACGTCGTCAAGACAACATATCTAAAAAGAATAACATGTATAAACATACTGCCCATCTATAGATGTTTATAATTAAAACTACATCAAATATACATACATATATCTATAGGTAGTAGGTTAGTAGACAGCAACCCCCCAGGGAAGTACTACCGTCCTGCCAGATGACTGTGAAACAGAAACCTGTAACTGTTTTTCATGATGGTAGGATTGCTGGTGTCTTTTTCTGTCTCATAAACACGCTAGATAACAGGGATATCTTGCTACTCCAACTTACACTTTGGTCACACTTCACAGACATGCACATGCATGTATATATACATACATCTAGGTTTTTCTCCTTTTTCTACATAGCTCTTGTTCTTCTTTATTTCTTCTATTGTCCATGGGGAAGTGGAAAAGAATCTTTCCTCCGTAAGCCATGCGTGTCGTATGAGGCGACTAAAATGCCGGGAGCAATGGGCTAGTAACCCCTTCTCCTGTAGACATTTACTAAAAACGAGAAGAAAAACTTTATAAAACTGGGATGCTTGAATGTGCGTGGATGTAGTGCAGATGACAAGAAACAGATGATTGCTGATGTTATGAATGAAAAGAAGTTGGATGTCCTGGCCCTAAGCGAAACGAAGCTGAAGGGGGTAGGGGAGTTTCAGTGGGGGGAAATAAATGGGATTAAATCTGGAGTATCTGAGAGAGTTAGAGCAAAGGAAGGGGTAGCAGTAATGTTGAATGATCAGTTATGGAAGGAGAAAAGAGAATATGAATGTGTAAATGCAAGAATTATGTGGATAAAGTAAAGGTTGGATGCGAGAAGTGGGTCATAATAAGCGTGTATGCACCTGGAGAAGAGAGGAATGCAGAGGAGAGAGAGAGATTTTGGGAGATGTTAAGTGAATAGTATAGGAGCCTTTGAACCAAGTGAGAGAGTAATTGTGGTAGGGGACCTGAATGCTAAAGTTGGAGAAACTTTTAGAGAGGGTGTGGTAGGTAAGTTTGGGGTGCAAGGAGTAAATGATAATGGGAGCCCTTGATTGAACTTTGTATAGAAAGGGGTTTAGTTATAGGTAATACATATTTTAAGAAAAAGAGGATAAATAAGTATACAAGATATGATGTAGGGCGAAATGACAGTAGTTTGTTGGATTATGTATTGGTAGAAAAAACTGTTGAGTAGACTTCAGGATGTACATGTTTATAGAGGGGCCACAGATATATCAGACCACTTTCTAGTTGTAGCTACACTGAGAGTAAAAGGTAGATGGGATACAAGAGAATAGAAGCATCAGGGAAGAGAGAGGTGAAGGTTTATAAACTAAAAGAGGAGGCAGTTAGGGAAAGATATAAACAGCTATTGGAGGATAGATTGGGTAATGAGAGCATAGGCAATGGGGTCAAAGAGGTATGGGTAGGTTTAAAAATGTAGTGTTAGAGTGTTCAGCAGAAGTTTGTGGTTACAGGAAAGTGGGTGCGGGAGGGAAGAGGAGCGATTGGTGGAATGATGATGTAAAGAGAGATAGTAAGGGAGAAAAAGTTAGCATATGAGAAGTTTTACAAGTAGAAGTGATGCAAGGAGGGAAGAGTATATGGAGAAAAAGGAGAGGTTAAGAGAGTGGTGAAGCAATGTAAAAAGAGAGCAAATGAGAGAGAGTAGGTGAGATGTTATCAACAAATTTTGTTGAAAATAAGAAAAAGTTTTGGAGTGAGATTAACAAGTTAAGGAAGCCTAGAGAACAAATGGATTTGTCAGTTAAAATAGGAGAGGAGAGTTATTAAATGGAGAGTTAGAGGTATTGGGAAGATGGAGGGAATATTTTGAGGAATTGTTAAATGTGATGAAGATAGGGAAGCTGTGATTTCGTGTATAGGGCAAGGAGGAATAACATCTTGTAGGATGTGAGGAAGAGCCAGTTGTGAGTGTGGGGGAAGTTCGTGAGGCAGTACGTAAAATGAAAGGGGGAAAGGCAGCCGGGATTGATGGGATAAAGATAGAAATGTTAAAAGCAGGTGGGGATATAGTTTTGGAGTGGTTGGTGCAATTATTTAATAAATGTATGGAAGAGGGTAAGGTACCTAGGGATTGGCAGAGAGCATGCATAGTTCCTTTGTATAAAGGCAAAGGGGACAAGAGAGAGTGCAAAAATTATAGGGGGATTAGTCTGTTGAGTATACCTGGTAAAGTGTATGGTAGAGTTATTATTGAAAGAATTAAAAGTAAGACTGAGAATAGGATAGCAGATGAACAAGGAGGCTTTAGGAAAGGTAGGGGGGTGTGGACCAGGTGTTTACAGTGAAACATATAAGTGAACAGTATTTAGATAAAGCTAAAGAGGTCTTTGTGGCATTTATGGATTTGGAAAAGGCGTATGACAGGGTGGATAGGGAGGCAATGTGGCAGATGTTGCAGGTGTATGGTGTAGGAGGTAGGTTACTGAAAGCAGTGAGGAGTTTTTACGAGGATAGTGAGGCTCAAGTTAGAGTACATAGGAAAGAGGGAAATTATTTCCCAGTAAAAGTAGGCCTTAGACAAGGATGTGTGATGTCACCGTGGTTGTTTAATATATTTATAGATGGGGTTGTAAGAGAAGTAAATGCGAGGGTCTTGACAAGAGGCGTGGAGTTAAAAGATAAAGAATCACACAAAGTGGGAGTTGTCACAGTTGCTCTTTGCTGATGACACTGTGCTCTTGGGAGATTCTGAAGAGAAGTTGCAGAGATTGGTGGATGAATTTGGTAGGGTGTGCAAAAGAAGAAAATTAAAAGTGAATACAGGAAAGAGTAAGGTTATGAGGATAAAAAGATTAGGTGATGAAAGATTGGATATCAGATTGGAGGGAGAGAGTATGGAGGAGGTGAATGTATTCAGATATTTGGGAGTGACGCGTCAGCAGATGGGTCCCATGAAGGATGAGGTGAATCATAGAATTGATGAGGGGAAAAGGGTGAGTTGGTGCACTTAGGAGTCTGTGGAGACAAAGGGAAATTTGTCCTTGGAGGCAAAGAGGGGAATGTATGAGAGTATAGTTTTACCAACACTCTTATATGGGTGTGAAGCATGGGTGATGAATGTTGCAGCGAGGAGAAGGCTGGAGGCAGTGGAGATGTCATGTCTGAGGGCAATGTTGGTGTGAATATAATGCAGAGAATTCGTAGTTTGGAAGTTAGGAGGAGGTGCGGGATTACCAAAACTGTTGTCCAGAGGGCTGAGGAAGGGTTGTTGAGGTGGTTCGGACATGTAGAGAGAATGGAGCGAAACAGAATGACTTCAAGAGTGTATCAGTCTGTAGTGGAAGGAAGGCGGGGTAGGGGTCAGCCTAGGAAAGGTTGGAGGGAGGGGGTAAAGGAGGTTTTGTGTGCGAGGGGCTTGGACTTCCAGCAGGCGTGCGTGAGCATGTTTGATAGGAGTGAATGGAGACGAATGGTTTTTAATACTTGACGTGCTGTTGGAGTGTGAGCAAAGTAACATTTATGAAGGGGTTCAGGGAAACCGGCAGGCCGGACTTGAGTCCTGGAGATGGGAAGTACAGTGCCTGCACTCTGAAGGAGGGGTGTTAATGTTGCAGTTTAAAAACTGTAGTGTAAAGCACCCTTCTGGCAAGAGTGATGGAGTGAATGATGGTGAAAGTTTTTCTTTTTCGGGCCACCCTGCCTTGGTGGGAATCGGCCAGTGTGATAAAAAAAAAAAAATATCTTCTTTAAACAAACCAACCATATCCTACCAAGGCAGAGTGGCCCAAAAACAAAAGTTTCTCCTTTTAAATTTAGCATTTTATACAGAAGGGGTTACTAGCCCCTTGCTCCAGGCATTTTAATCTCTTCTTACGACACGCACGACTTATGGAGGAAGAATTTTGTTCCACTTCCCCATGGAGATAAGCAGAAATAAACAAGAACTAGTAAGAAAAATAGAAGAAAACCCGGAGGGGTATGTATACATACGCTTGTACACTGGTGTATAGTGTGACCTAAGTGTAGGCAGTAGCAAGACATATCTGAAATCTTGCATGTGTATGAGACAGAAAAAAAGACACCAGCAATCCTACTATCATGTAAAACAATTAGAGGCTTCAGTTTTACACACACTTGGCAGGACTGTAGTGCATAAAAAAACCATACCATGGGCAGGGATAGAACCCGCGATCAGTCTCTCAAAACTCCAGACGCGACGGTCTGGAGTTTTGAGACACACTGATCGTGGGTTCTATCCCCGCCCGTGGTATGGTTTGTTTGCAATCGTGTCATTACGATTTCGTGAGTCACCGTAGTACATCCTTGGTCTAGAAGGCACATAGATATTATGGACACAGAAATTGATTTTTTTTTTAACCCAGGATATTTCATCAAACCAAAATGTATAATTAACCTAGAATAACCTAATAGGCAAATGATTTTTAGGACTTGATGTGGCGTTGGAATGTGAACAGGGTAGATTTTGTGAAGGGATTAAAAAAAATGGTTAGCCAGACTTAGGTCCCAGAGGTGGAAAGTACAGTGCCTGCACTCTAAGGAGGGGTGGGGATATTTGCAGTTTGGAGGGACATCTGAACTGTCGTATCTCCACACCTCTAGCAAGACAGTGATAATGTGAATGATGGTGAAAGTTTTTTTTTTTTCCGGGTCACCCTACCTCGGTGGGAGACAGCTGGTGTATTAAAAACAAAATTCGAATATGTACTGAAGAATTAGAAATACAGTAGAAATCTATAATCTCACAATATTGCTGGAGCCAAACCAAGAGTTGTCAGTTTTTACCACAGCTCCTCAAATGCTTCTAGTAATGACTAACTTTTTTTTAAATATCAAAATAAAAAATAATTATATATAATTTTTTTTAAATTTGATATTTAAAAATAAATGAGCATTTTTGGAGGTTTCTGGAAAGTAACTACATTTCCCATATGCTCTTCAGATTATTACTTTAATCAGAAAGCGCTAAATCTGTAGGGATCATATAGCATCAAGGGAATAGGAGGCATTAATATGTTCATCAGATTGGTTAGCAGTAATATAGGTTAGATGGTGATTTTCATGAATGGAACCCACTTTCCAACTGACAGTGTACTTAAATACAGCAATGCATGTATTAAAATGTGTTTATTATACTTGAACATCTTCACAGAATATATTTAGGAAGCACTACACAATCAGAATAACTGGGAATGGGGGGAAAAACCATACTCATGGTCAGAAAAAACAGAGCTACTAACCCAAACTGACGTGATGGAAGGAGGTTTGTAGTCCATCTCTCAATGGCTCTAATAGTGACATCAAAACGAGGAGAAATAACACCGCACTTGATAAGACGGCCAGTCAGGTTCACTACGATCTTGCCAGCTCTGTGGTCATCAACTATTTCAAACTCTCCAATATATCCTAAAAAAATGAAAATAATTTTAAAAAATTAAGGTAGAACTGGTACGATGATACCAACATGTATGTGAAGACACTGAGGCACTTATCAAGACATTTATTACGGAAAATTTTTGCCATTAGTGGCTTCTTCAGTCCTACCACAATAAGTAAATAAGTCAATTATATAATCAACTAGGATCACAGATAAACAATGAGGCCTTAGAATGGGTAGCAGATGTGTAGACTAAGCGTTTACATCGCAGCATGTAAGTGAATGGTATTTAGATAAAGGCAGGGAAGTTTTTGTTGCTTTTATGGATTTAGAAAAGGCTTTGATAGGGTGGATAGAGGAGTAATGTGACAGATGTTGCAAATGTACAGAATAAGTGTTTTTATGATTATAGTGAGGCTCAGGTAAGGGTGTGTAGGAGAGAGGGAGATTACTTTCCAGTAAAAGCAGGTCTTAAGACAAGGATGCATAATGCCACCATGGTTGTTTAACATTTTTGACGAGGGTTATCAAAGAAGTAAATGTTAGGGTGCCGGGGACGGGTGGGATTAACTTATGTGGATTCAAATACAAAATGGGGGTAAACAGT